GAATTTATCACTAACCAGTCTCAGACACTTACTGTAGAAGAATCTGAAGCCCAACAGCAACATAGTATATATTTATACTATTAAGAAATATAAGTAAAAGCCATTTATTTCAACAATTGGCAAAAAGAAGAACTTATTTATATAATAATTTTTTTTAAATCTGACACTCAGAGACATATATACATATAGTTTAAGGACAACAATGAAAATATTGGTCCATCTAAGCCATCCCATCTGCTATATTCAACTCTTGAAATAAAAATAAAACACTCAAATCCAATCCTTATCATTCAAATATTTAAAAGCCTTAGATTAACTGCATCCACCACATCTGAAGGCAAGCCATTCCAAAGGCCAACCACTGTGTTAGAAAAAAACAGCTGGCATATCTAAAGCAGATTCCTATCCAGCCAAAATGTATATTTGTTTCTCATAGTCTTATCATTCTCACACATAAGTACAAACAAAGATAATACACCAACACTATCAATTCCCTTAACAATCTTAAACCCCTCAATCACATCCCTCTCTTTTTTTTTTTCAGGAGAAAACTGTTTCAGAGATCTTAACATATCCTCATATGGTAACCTAACCATCCCAGGTATCATTCTAGAAGCCCTTTCCAGCAATCCAATGTCCTTTCTGAGGTAAGGAGCCCAAGATTAAACACAATACTCCAAATATGACCTATATTATAATCTCTTCAGACTTGTACTCAACATTCCTCTATATACAACCAAAAAATCTTATTTATCCTACTACTAGCAAGAGCATATTGCTAGGATGGCTTAAAAGACTGATTAACCAGAACATCAAAATATTTTTCTTCCATAACAATGTTAAGGTTACTTACATCAAAATTATATGCATATTTCAAATTGTGATATCTTGCATGCAATACCTTGCATTGATTATAATTAAAAACCATCTGCCATTTATTCACTAACTCATTAAATACTCCAACTATTTTTGTAAGGCAGTAGCATCCTTTTCACAGCCAGCTTTAATACCATCAGCAAATTTAAATAATTTATTGACCATCCCTTCATCTATTTCATTGATGTAAATCAAAAAAGAGCAAAAGCCCTAACACTGAGCACTAAGGTACCCCACTTGTAACATTAATCTAGTCTGACTGAACTCCATTTATTACAACCTCCTTTCTTTCATCTAGCCAGTTTTTTATCCAATAAGCCAACTTAACACTACACACCTACAGAGATAACATTTTTAACAGGTCTTTTATGGGCACCTTATCAAATACTTTGGGAAAATCCAGATACACCACATCCACACCCGTACCATCATCTATATAAGTAGTAACCTCTTCAAAGAATGTTAAAAGATTAGTAAGGCAAGATTTCCACTAGTGAAACCATGTTGACCATCCAACAAAGTTTTAAACTTTGTTAAATTATTTTGAAAGTTTCTTTTATCAGACTTTCCAAGACTTTCCATCTCTGATGTAATACTTATAGGACTATACTTACTGGAACAGTTTTTATCACCTCCCTTGAATAGAGGAGTGGCATTAGCCAACTTCCAATCTTTTGGCATCTGCCCATTATTCAAGGACTTGGAAAAAATAATAACAAGTGGCTCACATACCTAATCCTTAACCTCATTTCAAAACCTTTGGTTAAATATTATTTTGCTAATAAACTTTATCATTCTTTAAACTTCCCAATTTTTTCTTCACAAGCTCATAATTGATGTGATCATCTTGTTCAATCTCATTTCCATCTAGCAACTGTTTAGGTTGATGAATATTGCTTAAATCTTCATTAGTAAAAACTGAACACAAACTAGAATTTAATAATCTAGCAATCCCACAATCATCAGATACTAGCCTTCCGGTATCATCCCTCAAAGACCCTTCTCCAATCCTAGCATTATGCTTGCCCTTAATGTATTTGAAGAAATCCATACTATTTACTTTTACATTTTCAGCCAACCTTTTTCCAGTTTTTGATTTCCTAATTTCCAGTTTGACCAAGTCTCTTAATTTTCTATAATCCTCTAAATATCTCATCATTGCAGAGAATGTAAACTACTTATATTTATAATGCTTTTTTAAAATTTTATCCTTTGTGAGCCAATCTGGTTTTTATTTGCAACAACCCTTTTTTTTCTATAAAGAACATGCCTATCTTGAATGTTTAAGAATATACTTTTAAATTTTTTACACACTTGATCAGTATCTCCAACTAATTCAAGTTCCCAATTCACAGCATATAATTTTTGTCTCATTTCTTCAAAATATGTTGTTGTTTTTAAATTTGGAACCAAAATATCACTATCACCTATCTCCATATGCAGCAAAACATCAAATCTAACTGAGCAATGATCACTTGCACCCTAACCTTCATCTGTGTCGTTAATTAAATCAAAAAGAGCAAAAGTCCTAACACTGAGCCTTAAGGTACCCCACAAGTGATATTAATGTATTTTTATTTCCTCCCTTGAAAAGAGAAATAACAAAAGCCAACTTCCAATCTACTGGCACTTGTCCACTATTCAAGGCACATTATTTATGTGTTAAATTATGTCTGTCTGAAACTGACAGAAATTTTCTACAATGAGAAGACATCAGATAACTTGATATAAAGTAAATTTATACAATTTAGAGGCAGTTGAATGGGCAACAAACAAAACTTGAAATACAAAGTTAACAAATTTAGAATGTTTGAAGAAAGTTTATTCATCATCAGGTTCAAGCAGTTTACACTGGGATATATATAAAGTATGAAACAAAGAAGTCACATGACTAGAAATTGATTAAGACTTATCAAAGGTATATTGTTGATATTTGGTTTTGTTTAAAATTACAGTTTTTACTTTTTAACAAATATACTGTTTTTTTTTTAAGTGGCATGTTTGTAAACATGAGGTTTTCTTATTATATTTACCAAATGAAATCAAATCATCATCTAATCAGATAATCTTAGTTAACTTTGACTCAAATCTTTATTGAACAGTATTTTTATGTTTATGCTATTCAAACAACATACATAAATAAACTGTATAACTGGCTCCTTAATTATTTCTAATTGCAATTGTTGTTGTTGTTCGTCCTTCGAAGTTCGAAGAAGACCACGACATCATTTTGTCTATCCGTGGATACGGAGATGGCTCAGGAGTCCTATCCGAGCCAGGAAGCCTCGACCACATTCACGGCATATATGGCTTGGTGTCCCGTTCTGAGTCGACCGCACCCGATCTTTCCGAGCTGCACGCTTCCCCTC